GAGAGAGAGAGAGAGAGAGAGAGAGAGAGAGAGAGAGAGGAGGGACACCAAGCAGCACAGAGAGCCAGTCTGTTTCCAGCTCCCAGTAGCTCGTCTGCCAGACAGCACTCAGCCATCCACCATCACACACTCTCAAACACATTCACTTTCACTATACGACAGCTGACAACACCTTCTCATTTACCCAGCAGCAGCAGCACAGACTCACGCAGCCAGATCCAAAAGAGAGAAGAAAAAACCCCCCAAAAACCAGATTTGTGCTGCAGACACACCAGCTCCGAGGAGGCTGGGTCGAGGCTGGAGAGGGTGACTGGAGAATGGAATGGAACCTCAGAAGGATGGAAAGTGAACTGAGGCACATCAATCCGGACCTGCTGCAGCCCAGCAAGAGCTTCAAGAAGCCCTCTTCAGGTACCATCACCATCAACGTGGGGGGGTTCCTGTACACCGCCCATCGCACCACCCTGGTCAAACAACAGGGTTCCTTTCTGGAAGAGCTGGCCAACGGTAAGAAGGCGGTTCAGCACACCGATTCCATGGGCAACCCGTTTATTGACAGAGATGGTCCGGTTTTTCGCCATGTGCTCAACTACCTTCGAACCGGAGAGCTCCAGCTGCCCGACGACTTCCGGGAGGCAGGGCTGCTGCGACGGGAGGCTGATTTCTACCGTCTGAGTGAACTGGTGGAAGCCGTGATTGAGTGGGAAAGTCTGAGGGCGGCCCAGCGGGAGGCCGCCTTTTTGGAGATGACGGACAGCCACGAGAGGTCGCAGGGCCTCAAGGTGTACTGCAGTGACTCCACCTTCCTCGACAAGGTCAAAGGGCGGCTGGTGCAGATCTCCAAGAGCCGCCTGGACGGCTTTCCGGAAGAATTCGTGGTGTCGTCCAACGTGATCCAGTTCCGGCACTTCATCAAGTCGGAGCCGGGCTCGCGGCTCGTACTGAAGGAGGACAGCACATTCTTGTGCACACTGGACTGTCTGAAACTAGAGACAGTGATGCTAGCGCTGAAATCGGGCTTCAAGCTGGTCACCAGCCTCGACAGCAGCAAAGGCTCTGTGGTGGCGGCCGAGGCCCTGCACTTTGTCAAGTAGGATGAAGGAAAGCAGACGGAGGAGAGGGGAGGCAGAGAGGGGAAGAGAGAGTAGTGCCTGGTTTCATATCCACCCCGCTAATGTAAGGTATTGGCTTGAAGATCTTGTAACATGTGCTGAGCTGTGATGTGTCATTGGGTGGGAGGAGAACAGGTGGGTTCGGACTGTCTCGCAGGACAGTGTTTATATCTTTACTGCACAATGCTGGCTTACGAACACGGGAGCTGATAAGTTTGGGGTAACAGAGGGGGGATTCGTCAACCTTTACACCGCTTTATAAGCTTGTATTCATATAATTCAGAATGATCCGGATCAACTTAGCATTTGTGATATCCAAATAGCATTCGATAGGATATCATATGATGATAGGTACAGCTCTGTAATATGGAAGACAAGACAACGGTGTATCTTTCCATAGAGAAGACGGAGGAATAAAACAGAGAGTCTGAACATCGACAGCTTTATCAGTGGAGTCGTCTCTGCACATGAACTGCTTCTGCTGCTTTGTCAACAGCTGCAAAAGCCTTCAAAAACCAGCCGTGATGTGCACCGTTGTGCCATTCAGCTTTTACTACAGTCTGTGTGTGTGTGTGTGTGTGCGCGTGCGTGTGTGTGTAGCTATACACCGTGTGTGCTGCTGCGTTTAGTCGGTTAAATAGCTTGCGTTTAGTTTATTAGCCTCTTTGGAGCCTGGAGGAAAAACCACAGTGCATTGAGGTTGTTTTTTTTGGACGGACTAACAAACACCGCACCCAAAAATGACACTGAAGCAACACAAACCGTTTCTCAGTTCACAAGTGGAGTTTAAGTGCAAAGAACCGCGATTATTGTAAAGGGCTTTGAATCTAGCATGATGCATGTGCACTCAATAAACTGTGTGTTAGTGCTGTGAGCCTTTGTGAAGTTAGTGCCACAACAATGCCTATTACTTTTCAATGTGAATATTTTACAAATAAAAGTGACACTGAAACTATTGGTGAGTGTATCTGCAAAAGTCTGTGTACCATTTAATGCTTGAGTTATTGTTTGGTGTAAGAAGCCTGTCAAATGCTGCTTTTAATAATATTACAGTCTGTACACTGCGTTACTGTTAAACACTGAGGCCGGCGAAAGCATTATTTTGTGTTAAGTTTCCCATAATCTTCTGATAAAAAAAAATAAAAAGAATGAGTGGGAGAGACACCCTGGACTGGCTCACACGTTCAGCTTTATCAAACTAGAACATTTTCTTTGCATGTAATTACTCCTTTAACACGTCTCTGCATGTGATAAACACTGCTCTACATGTCCGGAACAATCTACACGGTGTGCAGGAAAATTCAAGGATCACAGGGACAAAGATGTGCACACTATGTGCAGCATATTCTTCGTCGATGCACATATTCGTTGTCAGAGCGGTGGAGGCTGTCATTGCTCCTGGGTTGCTGCTCCTTGAGTGATATCAGTCCATGTCCCACTTTAGATAACTCAGTTTGAAAGTGGCTTTAAAATCTATCAGTGCCTGGAGGATTGTCCACGATAGAAACCTACAGAAATCAAGAGGCCTTTTAAAAACATACCACCAAAATCACAATGTATGATATATTCGCTAATTGCAGGGCTTATAAGAAGCTATTCGGAAACACAGAACAAAAGATATTTTAAATGCATATCTGGTGTCCCCCAGGGGTGGTATGGAAAGCAGACAGAGCGAGATTTTTCTGAGGGCTTTTAAACAGTATAAGATATATAACTTTAGAACTGACACAAGTATATAATATGTATAGCTGCCTCATGTAGAGTGCGTTATCTAAATATTTCAGTAGATGCAACACACTTTCTCTGTGTACCCTGTGGTGTAACATGGTTAAAAAAATAATGCAACACTACATGAAACAACCAAACTAGCCCGGTCCAATGACTATTACTACTGCTGATCCTGTCCTGAAGTAACTATTTCTACAACTTGGAGAAACATAAACACAATATTCAGTGCTTCTAACTGTCAAAGACCACCTTCACATCAGCTGTGAACGTTGTTTTTAAATCGACCCCCAGCAGCTGAGGTTCTCACTTCGCTGCAGTGATGTGGAAGTGTACTCAGGGTGTGGTCCGTGGATCTTGACAGTAAGTTGTACTGGCTGGCGGCCGCCACAGTGCAGCAACACCACCTGCAGAAGCCTTTGGGGACTAGTTCATGAACTAGTTCATATGAACAAAACGGGGACAAAGTTGACGTTCTCTGGATGGAAGTATTTTACCAACTACAATGTGAAATGATTGACAAGATGTCTTAACATCGTTTTGATTTGAAGTAAAAAGGAAGTATTGTAGACTAGTAATTATCAATAATAATAACAGACAGCAGTGTTGTAGTATTTGAGATCGGTCTCAAGATCACGTTTTGAAGAGTAACTATATATGGTTTTCATTTTATCTGAAGTGTGTCTCGCAGTGTGGGATTCACACTGCTCTGGTCTCAGTCTTCACTTGGTCTCAACCCCAAAAAAATCAATGTAGAATAGACCAAGATATCCTAAATATTAGTCTCCATCAAGTATGACTCAAGCTCCACAAATAATGCATCCTACATGTCCCATAATGCAACTCCACTGCATCCTTGAATAGACTTCGCGAGCCTGGAAAATGCCAAAACCTTTCAAAAACATGCCGCAGTTTGAAACAACCTTTAAATAAGCAATGAAATACATACCCTAAATAAATAATTCAACATCAAATTAAATACATTAGCGTCTGCAGAGAAGATAACGTCAAAGAGTGAATTTGAGCACCATTTAATTTAAGGTCTTTAGAGCAGTGAAAACTGAATAATAAGGTCGACCTACCACACATTATAAGTCAACAGGCTGGTTATACTGTGGCACAAAAAAGGCTAATACTGGTGTGTTACGGCTGTGTTTGGGGACAAAAGAGCTGGTTTGGCAGTGCCCAATGTTGCTGGTGCCAAAGCAAACAGAACAAGTCTCGCCTGATTTCTGTCCAAACAATGTGAAGCAGGGATACATCATGATCCATTTATGGAAACTTGTGGGAGTGGAAATGTTTAAATTGAATAGCTCCAAACATTCATCTCCTCCAGAGTTTATTCTTGTGGAAAAAGCCTAAAAACAAGTTAAATTGCCTCTTACTTCTGCTTGGAACTGTAGCAGAGCTGCCTTGAACATCTCTTGGAGTTACCACCGTTAAATGAACAGCATCTCTCGCTGTACCTCCAACTGTGCTCCCCCCTCCCCTCCCTCCATGGTGACTGAAACCATCTGCTCCAGCAGGCACCGTCGTCAAACCGTAGGACCAGCCGCCACCACCCCCGTCATGACTCATACACCCACATCAACCTCTGACATCAGGCGAACCTCTTCCACCGCCAACCCCTCACAAACACAGACAACACACACACAATGCACACGCAACACCGCGTGCAACAAATTAAACATGGACGCATTCAAGAGGAGATAAACCCATTGGATCTGTTGCTCTTCAGATGTCACCCTTGGCACTGATACTTCATCGTCAACAACATCTAACCTTTTGTTTTTTTTTTTTAAATTGAGGATCCGGTTCATACATTTTTTACGACAGTGACTGCTTCACTTATTAGTCGCTGGGTCAAAGTGATCCACATCAAAAGGCAGCTGATGAGGGAGGCAGGAGGTGCAGGCGATAGGAAGAGGAGAGAGGAGGCAACCGCGGTGAGGAAAGCTCAAACCACACTACTATCAACATTCTCATCTCGCTCTTTTCACCTGTTGCCAGGCAAACTCAACACACGCACACACACTTCCTTATCGCTGCCTTGGAAAATGACTAACATACCTCAGATTTTTATCTTTCAACTCCATATAGAGGAAGAGACAGTGTGATGAAGAGGAGGAGGAGGGGAGGTCAGACTCTTTTCACTTCCACTCTCAGCTCAGACAAAAGAGGCAGCAGCAACCATTATTCACTTACAGAAAAGAGATGAGGCAGGGGCGAGCATAAAGAATAGTTTTTCACACATTAATACATTTATTTTTATATTGAAGCTGATGTTTCAAAGCTTTCATAAAAATGTTTCTTTTAAACAGTGTCCCCTGTGAACTGAACTTCCTCCTCAAGGTATAAAAACACCATCAAACATCATTTGGTCTCAAATTCAGCCCGAAAGACTGAAACATTCTGCCAGTGAAGTGAGATAGATCTAGTTCCCCTCTTGTTTCAGGAGATTTCTACAAACAAGTAATCTTCAATCTGTATCTTTTATCTCAATTGTACAGAAAAAAAGCCATTTACTGGTTGAGCCAATATAAGTATAATGTTGTCTAATAATTGCAAGATTACTTTTTCTCAACAGATTCATAATTTGGTTCATAGAATGTTGATAGAAAATGTCTATCGCAATTTCTTCACATTCCTTGTTTTGTCAGTCCAACACTCAAACGCATTCAGTTTTTCTATCAATTAATTGACAGATTCATTTAATAAATTTGAGCTCTACGATACAGTCGATAAAAACAGAAAGAAAGCAGAGCAACAGCAGCGGTAACAAAGTCAGATCAGAGAGAGAGAGAAGACGTAATGAGGATCTCAGCAGAGAGGAAGTCAGAGCCAACCCTCCACTTTCCTACTGCGAGTGTAAAAATGGCACTCAGTGCGAGTCCATCTTTCTGTGTGTGCGTCTGTGTAAATTTAAAATCAATACCAATATTTTTTTTTACAGAGATGTTATGAATGATGCATTGTTTTCAACCAATCATTTCGGACTTTTAGGGCAATGTTTCCCAAACTTTCTTTCCGTGGACCAACCTTTTAAAAAAATGCACGTTTAGCTTTTGAATTAATGCTTAAAATCACGTTTCTGTTGTGATAAAATCCAGTGGTTGGTTGGTTTCAAAAGCACAGTTTCACGAGCCGCACAAAGAGTCCACTGTGAGATAAAAACACCTTTTTCCAGCATTCTGGTAGCAGCCGATTGGTCCGGTCCGCACTAGTTGACAATTTTCACTGTGAAAATCAAAATGACATCAAAGTGACCGACACACAGAAAACTCGGGGTCATGTTGTATTTTTCCAGTATACGTACATGTAGGAGTACTAGTTAGTCTATGAGTAAACAATGAAGCCGTTGTGTAGTCAGCTGTATGCACTGTACCTAATGGACCACCGGGTAGCGTCACCCTGCACGTGTCAAGTAGTAAGTGCATAAAAATACGTAGCTGCAAGAAAAACAACATTTCGTAAGTGAGTGTATTTATCTGCACGCTACCACACATCTGTTCCTTAAAAAGGATATTAATACCGTTATGACAAATTTAAAATTTGTGAGAACATTCTGCATTTCCCTTTCTAAACCGTGTCTCCCACCGGCCTGTCAAACCTGAATTATGACGAACTGGAGGCTGTTGCAAGTCTCACACCTCAACTCTGCACAGAGCCCGACACACAGTACGCAGCATTAATCATACAGCCTCACAGTGTCACTTGTCTTTCAGGCACCGCTGCTCCATTGGGGAGTGCTCTGAGCACGACATGTTCAGCTCAGGCCTCATTTGGACCATGCGAAGCAGCAACTCTCCACTGACAGCCAGACTAATGGTGGGTGAGCAGATTCTTTTTTTTTTTTGAGGCCGAGTGAAGCAAGTTTTGTTACTGTTGAGAAAAATCCTCCCACATAACACAGAAGGAGTTTCTTTCTCAGACTTCTCAAACAACAGTAATACAACCGTATGGACTGTGTGACCTGTGGACAGCTATGAATGGCTATCCTTACATGTTTAATAAAGAGCCTTCTAATGCACTGCTCTAATCATAATGTGTCAGTGTGCGCGACTCCTTAACGAAGGCACTCGGCGATCTACCTCTAAAAATCCACTGGTGCAGGACGGGGAAGCAGTTGGGAGTAAATTGGACTCATTTGAATCGCAGCAGTGACGAGAGAGAAATAACAGAACAAGCTCATACGAAAAGATGGATTTCTAAAATGTGAGCTGTGATACC